CAGCAGGAGGAGCTCGCCGGGGGCTGCCGCGGCGTGCGGGCACCCACATCCAGCCCCAGGCCGGAGCATTAGATGTGAGCTGCGGCTGCCTCCAATGCCAACAAAGAAATTTGGAACCGACTGGGAGCTGAGCCTTATAATACCTTAACGGTGCGCCGTAGAGAGCCAATGAGACGTCGCAGAGCCCCGACGTCACTATGCATGCGCCCACGCCACGCAGGCGTGCGGAACTTTTAGCAAAAGGCGGCAAAGAGGACTACTGGTTCCAACTGTTCCTCCTTTGGCTTGTGGCTTATTCCCCGCCAGTGATCTATTTCCCCCAATAAAGTCTCAAATCTTGGGGAATTTTTGTCTACAGACTCCTGATCGATGCTGGCACCGTCTCCACAGGGAAGCGAACAAGGCCTTGACTCAGTACGCGGAGCTGAAGTTAGGACCACAGCATCACAGCACCCTGACAAAGTGGCCAATCCAATGAGAGAGCTCTTATGACGTCATTGGGTGCTAGTCAGATTGGTGTTGACTGATGATAGGCCAAAGGCCAATGGGCGGGGCTTGTTTGGAAAAGGTGGGAAATCTCACAAAGGGAAGGACAGCAGTTGCAGATTTCTAGAAAATTCCAGATGTAGAAACTTTTGGTTTCTGACTGGCCTCAGGATAGGCTCTGAGAAAGGAATTAAGAGACACTGAGTGACTCATTTTTGAGAGAATAGCCAATCGGTAGCCACAGAGTGGTATGACATAACTTGGTGCTAAGGGGAATTGTATTCCCACCCAACAATTGGCTACCTGCAGGCCAGAGGGGAGTGGCTCAAAAGGCAGGAAGCGGTAAGTACCACGGAATGGAAGGTTGCCACGGCCTGGGACCTTCCTTGCCACCCTGACCTCTGCACCTGCACCCACAGCAAACAACATAATCTCAAATTTGGGTGATCTTTTCAGGAGAGTCATTGAGCGGGTACTCAGGGAGTCTTAGAGGAAGAGATGTGATTTAAGGTCCATTTGTTTGTTTCTCTTTTTTAAAAAATGTATTTTATTTATAGTTATATTTACTTATTTATTTTTTTGAGATGGAGTTTTGCCCTTATTACCCAGGCTGGAGTGCAATGGCATGATCTCAGCTCACTGCAACCTCCACCTCCCTAGTTCAAGCAATTCTCCTGCCTCAGCCACCCAAATAGCTGGGACTACAGGTGCACGCCACCACACCTGGCTAATTTTGTATTTTTAGTAGAGATGGGGTTTCACCACATTGCCCAGGCTGGTCTTGAACTCCTGACCTCAGGTGATCTGCCCACCTAGGCCTCCCAAAGTGCTGGGATTACAGGCATAAGCCACCGTGCCCAGTCAAAAATTTTTATTTTATTTTATTTTAATTATTTAGTTTTTTGGGACTGGGTCTCACTCTGTTGCCCAGGCTGGAGTGCGGTGGCTCTATGGTAGTTCACTGCAGCCTTGACCTACTAGGCTCAAGCAATCCTCCCACTTCAGCCTCCCAAGTAGCCAGGACCACAGGCACAGGCCACCATGCCTGGCTAATTTTGTTGTTGTTGGTAGAGACGAGGTCTTGCTATGTTGCCCAGGCTGGTTTCGAACTCCTGGGCTCGAGTGATCCTTCCACATTGGCTTGCCAAAGTACTGGGTTTATAGGCATGAGTCACCATGCTGGCCTAAGGTCCATTTGGACCTGGAAAATAGTGGCCAATACAAAAAGCACACTCCTATGATGTAACTGGGTGCTAGTCAGATTTGTGTTGCCTAATAATTTCCTTCCCTGAGAGAAAGGTGGGGCTCTCAGCCAATGGGGGGGTCAGGATATGCCATGATGTCACAGGATACTAGGCAGGAAGAAAGATACCTTCCAGCAAACGTTCTGGGTTTGCTCTTGGTTAGATGGAAAAAGGCAAGAAATTGCCTCCAGGGAGACTATTTGACACCCATGCCACCAATAAAATGTTACATAATCTGGGGGAACCTCCCCTTAGCCTCCAGATGAACTCAGGGTGGGGGCATCTCTGAAGCAGGAGTCTTTTAAGAGATTTTCTTTTCTTTTTTTTGTAGAGATGGGGTCTCGCTATGATACCCAGGCTGGTCTCAACCCCCTGAGCTCAAGCAATCCTCCTGCCTCAGCCTCCCAAAGTGTTGGAATTACAGGCGTGAGCAACCGCGACAAGTCTTAAGGGATTTTCTTTTCTTTCTCTCTCTTTCTTTCTTTCTTTCTTTCTTTCTTTCTTTCTTTCTTTCTTTCTTTCTTTCTTTCTTTTTTTTTTCTTTTTTTTTTTTTTTTTTTTTTTTTTTTTTTCCTGAGATGGAGTCTCACTGTGTCACCTAGGCTGGAGTGCAGTGGAGCGATCTTGGCTCACTGCAACCTCTGCCTCCTGGGTTCAAGCGATTCTCCTGACTCACAGTCTCCTGAGTAGCTGGGATCACAGCACGCACCACCATACTTGGCTAATTTTTGTATTTTTAGTAGAGATGGGGTTTTCCCATGTTGGCCAGGCTGGTCTCGAACTACTGACCTCAGGTGATCCACCCGTCTCAGCCTCCCAAATTGCTGGGATTATAGGCGTGAGCCACCGTGCGTGGCCAAGGGATTTTCTAAGAATGGTCCTCTGTTCCAGAAAAACTAAATTCCTTATCTTTGTTATTTTCATCCTCTTTTGAAGCCAATTCAGTTAGGCATTCACTGCCCCCACACTCCACCTTCACATCCAATCCATGAGCAAATCCTGTCCACATCTACAAAATATCTCCCATAATTCAACTATTTTTACCACCTCTGTTGCTACCACCTTCATCCAAGCCACCATCACTGCTCGTCCGGATTATTACAATAGTGCCCACACTGAGCTCACCACTACCCCCCGAAAGTCTTCTTCACATGGAAGCTAGGATGATCACTTTAAAACATGTCAGGACAGACATGGGGGTTCATGCCTGTAATCCCAGCCCTTTGGGAGGCTGAGATGGGAATCACTTGAAACCAGGAGTTCAAGACCAGGAAACTTGGCAACATAGCAAAACCCCATCTCTACAAAAAAAAAAAAAAAAAAAAAAAAAAAAAAAAAGATAGTTGGGCATGGTGGTGCACACCTGTAGTCCCAGCTACTTGGGAGGCTGAGGCAGAGGATTGCTTGAGTCCAGGAGTTGGAGGCTGCAGTGAGCTATGATCGTAGTACCGCACTCCAGCCTGGGCAACAGAATGAGACCCCATTGCTAAAAATAAACTTTTTTTTTCTTCTGCATTTTTTAATGCAGAAAAAAAAATAAAAAATAAAAATAATAAACTCTTGAATGGTTTCCCATTACTCTCAAAATAAAACCCAAAGTCCCTGCCCTTCTCTACAAAGCCTTGCATAATCTACCTCCACCACATGACCGATCTCACCTCTTATAAGTCTTCCTCATTCACACCACTGCAGCCACACTGGTCTTCTTCCTGTTCCTTTAAAAACCAAGCACACTTGCCGGGCGCGGTGGCTCACGCCTGTAACCCCAGCACTTGGGAGGCCGAGGCAGGCGGATCATGAGGTCAGGAGATTGAGACCATCCTGGCTAACACGGTGAAACCCCGTCTCTACTAAAAATACAAAAAATTAGCCGGGCATGGTGGCGGACGCGTGTAGTCCCAGCTACTCCAGAGGCTCAGGCAGGAGAATGGTGTGAACCCGGGAGGTGGGGCTTGCAGTGAGCCAAGATCATGCCACTGCACTCCAGTCTGGGCGACAGAGCAAGACTCAATCTTAAAAAAAAAAAAAAAAAAAAAAGCACACTCTGCCCCAGGGCCTTTGCACTTGCTGTTCTCTCATCCTGGAACACACCTTTTCATGTAATGGCAAGCCAGTTTCCCTACTTCCTCGAGACCTTCCATTAGGCAGGTCAGGCTAGCTCTGTTGGCTCTACAGAGTTTATTTAGTTCTGGCTGGGCGTGGTGGCTCACGCCTATAATCTCAGCACTTTAGGAGGCTGAGGCTGGCGATCACTTGAGCCCAGGTCTAGACCGATGTGGGCACCGTGGTGATACTCCATCTCTACAAAAAATACAAAAATTAGCCAGGCATCGTGGTGTGTGCCTGCCTGTAGTCCTCATACTTGGGAGGCTGAGGCAGGAGGATTGTTTGAGTCCAGGAGGTCCAGCCTACAGTGAACTATG